TTTTACTTAGAAAATATATTGCTAAAATTAATTGTTAAAATTTTATTATAAAAATTAATTTTAAAAAAATTAATACAGGCAAATTTGCCTGTATTACAATCTAAGAGATAATGAAAAAACTGTAAACTACCATTTCTATCAGATTTGAATTGATTGATTTTAAGTTCATAATATTCTCCTTCATGTATTGCAAAAATAATTGATAGATAAAAAAAAATACAATATAGGAAATTTATAGAATTATCATAGCTTATTATTGAATAGTTCAATATTATTTGAACTTAAGAAGAATTAAGAGCAACTAAATCTGAAACTTCACCAAATTCACATTCTTGAAGATCATACATTTTATCATACAAAACATCATACAAATCAGAAAATATATACTGATCATATAAATTAATATATAAAATAGATGAATTATGAAGAAGGTAGTAACTAAGTGCATCAATAGTCTGCTTTACAGAATTTGTCTTATATTCTTTTCTATCTTTCTTTTTTATTATAGAAATAAATTTAACAATTTGTTCTTCAAGCTGTTTAATATTATTAATAGTAGTTAACAGAATTAAATATCTTGAGTTAATACAAAATTTCTCAAATCTCTTAACTTAATTCTTAGTTGCTAATTTAGTATTCTTATTTTTCACCTTTTCTCAATAATATGCAGCTTTAGTTTTCACTTTACTGTTATTAGATATCATAGTTGTAGATGTAAATGTAGCAGAATACTCTAAAGATCAAGTTTTTTTCAATACTAATCTTGCATTTTTAAAACTTAGATTTGAAATATTTGTAATATTAAATTTAGAAAGTTTCTTTTTTATGATTATTTTTTTTTTTAAAAAAAATAGGAAAATGAATATGTGAAAAAGGATATAATAATCACTATGAGAATATAAATTATAAAATATTAATAAAAGAAAGTTATAGGGGTGTAGCGACCTAGTGAAGTGGTCAGGTTGTCAACCCTCCAAGAAGTAGGTTGGGTATTCAAATTCTATCGATAGTGAAAATTTGGATAATCACCTATGTAATATTCATATTATGGCAACTATTACTAACAATTAGGTTAGAATACTTATAATGGCAGTCGCACCAGCATGACTGGTAGGTTATGGGCCATCTGTGTAATATTGAAGTTACATAGAAGAATGCAAACTAACAAATCAGGTGATGCAAACACTAGATAAGTCTTTGTGATCATGTAAATCTGTTGAAATTGAGTAACAATAAGTTCATTTAGGAAAACCCAAGTAGAGAGGTAGCTGGATCTTTGATGCCCCTACTGTAAAGGCTAGCCTAATGAAACAGATACCAGGTCTAGTACCCAATCCTAGTAGTTAGATGAGCAAGAACCTCCAAGTTGGGAGTCTCAGAAGTATTACCAACCAGACTCTGGAACGAATTAAAGAAAAAGGATATCAGGCTGACCTGATATACTGATGGACTGGTCGTAGTTCTACACAGACTATCTTGGTAAAAGGGTAGGAGAAAAGGCAGAAGTATACTAAAGTACTGAGGTTATACTGTGAAGTAGATGCTGAGGTCTAAATGAACTCTACAAGAGCATAACAGTTTAATGGTTAACCCTGACTGCAAGTGTTGATTCTGCCATAGTAATATCTAAGTCAACTGTAAAAATGGGTACAGAAGGCTCTGGAAGGTTTACCTTGAGGATAAATTAGTCCTAAGATTGAGGATGATGATCTGGTATATCTGAGATGATCAGTAATGTTAATACAGGTTACAGGTTTAGAGGGTTTAAAATAGAACATCCAAGCAGAGATGTTAGGTACAGCAATTGGTAAAGAACCTTCAGGCAGACTCCTTAAATAGGTAATATAGAAAAGTTACACATGTAGCCAATTGTATACTCTCCTGTAGTAGTTTATTGAACCACAATACTGATAAGTGATTAATAAAAGTCAAAAGACCAAAGAGGTCATCTTAATATCAAAAAAAATAAAATAAAAGGAAGTTATGGTGTTAAGATTCATGAAATAACTATTACTTATTTACTTTAGTAAATTATTACACTTCTAAGTACTTATTTTAATATTAAAAAAAAATAAAAAATAAAAATATTCAATACTATAAAAATATATAATTATATATTTTTTAAATTAATATACCAATTTTTAAAGCTTGTATATGCTGTAAACATTTTTGAACATATAAACATTTGACATTGAACATGGTTTAAATATTATCTCAGATATGCTAACAAACACTACATATAGACGGATTTTTACCAATTGATTCTGAATAAAATCACTAAATTCAGGTTCAACCTCTTATTTGATTTTTTTGATTGGTTTAACAAATTATTAAGATAAATTGGTTTAATTTTTTAAGAATCTAATTTATTAGTCTAAGTCTACTGTTTGACATTGTTATAGTAAAAATAACCTTTTCGACTCAATATTTCAGACAATTGTATTGTTAATAACCTATTTTATTATAAAAATTTTTAGAGTACTAGGTTCTTTCTTTTGCATATTGCCGCAAATCCGCCACATGAATAAAATTTTCATGCTTACGTGCCGATCAACCAATAATTGTAATAATTGGGGCCAGGTGCATTTAAAATATTGATTTACACTAGTGCCTTATGCCGTCCCTGTGCCTATATGCACAAAAGTGCCAGGCACTATTAAAGGCATAGACACAGTTAAATAAATAAACATCCAATTTCTGTGTCTGTGCCATGCCTAGATTTTTTGTTGGGCACAGGGACGAACCCAGGTTGCAGACCCCTAATACGTATAAATCAATGGCAAGAATTAGTAATTGATAAAAAATTAATAAATGACAAAATTAGTAATTGATTTCTATTATCCATGATAAGCAAAGCGGAACAGTATTCCGATGAACAGGAATTTAGTTTAAACAAAAAAGTGTCATATGCTAATTGTAATTCTCGCATATTGATACAATTTGGCCCATCGCTATGGTTAAACATCTTTTAATTGGATTAGTTATTTAATCCTATAACTACCTAGGATATATAAATATAGGGTATCATCATAAATTTTTTTTTTAAAAAAATTGTTTTTATAAAAATGGCATCCACAGTGAGTCTTAATGATGTACCAGATCCGACGCAAGCAGAATTATCAAACATTGGATTAGCAGTACAAAAACTTTGGGAATTAGATCAAAATAGATTAGAGCCTGGTGTTGATGTAATTAGTATTCATAATATATAATTTGCATAAGATAACGATAATGCACATTAACGTTATACATACGTAAATTATACGTACGTAGTATTCTATCAATGTGTTTATAGCACATGGAAAAGGTAAATATAAATAGACATATGTATATATCAGATATATTATCGATACAATTAGTTAATAACAATTTTCATAAAAAAAAAAAATAGAACACTCGTCAAAACCCTTATTTAACCATGTGGATAGGAAAGTTAATCAAATACCAACATATAGAGCTTTTTATGCGCTACTTGATAATTACATTCCTCAAACTGGAATCCCCGAAGTTGTTGATGATCAAGAATTAAAGGAGAATACACGATTTTTAAGAGCATGTTTACAAACAGGACCATTGCTTTATGCATTTAAGGTACGTATTATTATTGGTTTCATGATACTTTGTATTCTATAAATTTGATAATAGAATTATTTTAATTAAACTAAAAAAAAAATTCAAGTATCTCCAAGCCAAAGGAGCTGTGAAAGGAAATCTTACTGATTTTGAAGAAGAACTTAACAAAATATGGTTTGAAATGTACAGAAGACAAGGACATGAAGAAGATTCTAGGTAAGATCTAAAGATCGATCATCAAACGGATAGGATATAGGATCATCAAAAAGTGATGAATACTAATAATTTGTATTAAAAGTGCTTTTGAGCATGTTTTTTTAGGTGAAGTTAGAAATAGGGAAGCAAAGGGTACGAATATAATTCTATTTAAAAATTGATCGCACATCGAAATTTTCTAATCGATTGTTTTATTTTTAGCATTTCATAATTGGATTACGTTTTATTTTTATGAAAAAGCTGGTAAAATTACTTTTGAAACCCTTATACCTTTAAAGGAAGGACATCATAAACACATTAATGTAAGTAATCACATTGGCCACATTGACATGCCTTGTCATATTTTCTAAATTTCTCATTCGCATAAATAGCCCAGTGGAAATGAGCATGTAATCTCCTTGCGGTTCTCTTTTGAGGGAGCACGAAAACCTTTCTCCACATCATTCATTGGTACTTCTCCCGAATTTGAGTTGGCCATGTATACTATGCTATTTCTGCTTAAACATCAAGATACTCATGTAACATTGGATGATGCTAATTTGAATATTAAGATTTATCCATTCAATCAAGATGGAATTAAATTTATTGGATCAGGATTTCCAATGATTATTGATCCAACCAATCCAACCAAATAATTTATTTATTTTATTGATTTATTTTTATTTTGAAATTTATATGTATTTCTTTTATCATTAAATTCATAACAAAGTATATCAATACGCAGCGTCTGCACTGGAAATATGCCCATTATATTTTAATGTCATCATACTGAATTGGGAGTAAATCACGATAATTGTTATTATTTCGTTTACTAACAAAAAGCTTTCTTTGAGAAATTTTACTATAAAACGGCTAATTTCTAACCCTATATACAAAGAATTCTGACCACCCCAGGATCAGGGACCCTAAAAGATTAGAAAACAATAAATCGAAAAACATTGGCACACTCGTGAGGCGTATGGGGTTACACTGGCTGGGATAAGAGCCAGGAATAAATTTTTTATTATATTTGATAATTATGTATGCAAAATAGACAGTATAGAGAATAATAATAGGAACTGAAACATTGATTTCCCGAAGGGTTAGCAATAGTAATTGCGCTGGGGATCGCAGTAACAGCCCAGGTAGTGATTAAATGAACACTATTTGCTTAATTATTCAGCCGGTGGTTTCCCGCCTGCCGCAGCAAGCCGGCTGTTAGAATGGCAGAATCAGGAGCTCGTTCCTCACGTGGAGGGTTTGGGTGGGGCGAGAAAATTTCTGAAGTTTGCAGGGTAGAGATCGATGGAGCTGGAATTTTGGTATTTATAGCGTAAGTTTAGGTGGCTTGTTCATGTGCCACGTCGAAGTAGTGGCGGTTCATGCAGCCTGTGAGGGGAGCATGTAATTCTGTGTATGGTCACCCATCATTTAGCCTGGTTTTTCGAATTGTTGACTAACAGTCAACTCACACGAAATTTTCTTTATTACGACATTGTAAGTTACACGAAAATTGATTGGTCAGCCATTTTAATAACCTTCACCCGGTGTGAAACATATAAAAAAATTATTTTACAATACCGATATCAGATCATTCCATAATCTCTCACCATTTTATTATAATAAAAATGAAATGATCTGGTATTGTAAAACAAGTGAAGCGCTTGCCTATGCGCTGGGAGATTTTGTTCCAGTCGATACGGCCAATCGGATTTTTGGGGTCAGTGTGATTTCGTGTTGGTAGCAGAGGGTCAGAACCGGTTAATAAAATTTGGGTTAACTTCAGGGACGTGTGGATTTTGTGATTTACTGCGATTTTAAGGAATAGAAACTTATAGATTTTATAAGTGTAAATTCCTTAGAAACACCTTAAATCGCAAGCTCCACACGTCCCTGATTAACTTAAACATTTATTTGTCTTCCGGCGATTACGTCACCATACATCACATGCCTAGTAATGTGCCATTTATATGTTAACCAAAATTTTTTTTTGCATACAGTCTGTACAATGCGTATCTAGCGATCTGATTAGCTGGTATAAACATGGTATATAGTAAATTAGTACAGTACAGTAACGCAAATAGGGGCGGACATGAGGAAATCATGATAGTACGTACGATTTGTAAAAAAAAAATTTTTTTGAAAAAGTTAATTTTCTATAACCTCATACGAAAAAAGAACAATGCTCGCACTTGCCCTAACCCTAAACATAAAAAATGGTTTATTTATAAAGGATTGGGTTTCCTCTTTCATTTGGCATGATGATGTGATGAATCATTTGTGTGATGAGCAAGCGTTAGCTAAATAATTAATTAATATTTATTAGTCATGCCTAATAATTCGTCACATCCTTATGCCCAACAGATAATGGACTTGTAAAAATTAATTTTACAAATCTATGTTAATCATACACTATCAAAATTTTACTAAATTTTTGTATGTTTATACATATTTATACAATCATACAGAACTACTTTACTAACTGCCTTAGAAAAAACTAGCAAAAATTTGTGTATAGTACTTACAGTTAGGAATGAACTACTGTACAGTTTGCAGTATTATGCAACCTGATTAAAATTATACTAGTTAGTTATAATTATATTAAATAACTTGGATTCTAAAAGTTATACTGTGCAGTTATTCAAAAATTCTGCCATATATAATATATAGTATATTGTATGTATAACATATCACTACATATGCACAATAGTGCAATAACCTATATATTTACTAGATGCAATACCAATTCTCTAAGTCTTATGTTTCTGATTTCATGTGACAACATTGCACAATTATCTTATTATTATTTGTAACAAATAAAGTAAATAATAATGAAAGTTTGAACAAATTATTTTTCATTTTTGATTTATTCATGCAAATCAAAATATATATATATATATATATATTTAATTTTTATTTCATTTTATTACAGTTGTATTACCTAATACTTTTTTTTATTTAAATGACTCTTAGTCAACAAGCAAAAAATTTTGAGCACAATTTAAGCATGCACATTGTCTTAAAAAATGTTGCTTATATGCAATTACAAGTAAAGATGTTAATTAGTTCTTTAGAATTGAATCCTAACTGATTTTAACTAATTCTTTCAAAGATCTGTAAAGATTTAATTTTTAAATCATATGATATATATATAGAACTTAAATTCTTAATTAGTTTTGGAACCTAAATCTTTAAAATCTGGTTCTTTTATAAATCCCAAGAATTGTATTCATTAGATGTTAGATAGTATACTTACTATATTTGTCTTTGGCAAGAAGAAATTCTTGCTATTGTCAAGTGTTTTTTTTTTTAAAAAGACATACATCTTAATGAATAATTTATGATCTTAGTTTAAAAAATTAGTAATAAAAGAAATTATTTATTTATTGTGTCAAGAATAGGAGTATGTATTGATTCTATAATAATTATTTTAATTATTGATTAAATTAGAATTAATTTTTATTTTTGTATAATTATTCTAATTACCTTTATAAACAATTATTGTATTTTGAAATTTCTAAAATTCTAAATTGTTTATTAATCATATTTTCAATTATTGATTCTGATTTTTAAATTGATTTACAACATTAGTCAAGAAGTTAACTATCTCTGGATTTAAATATATATTTATATGTGAATAAAATTAGTAATATGAGTATTTAATAACAAAAGTAGTTTATTAACACTTATTAATCAACTTTTTTAGAAATAATAAAAGTGCTGTTTTCTATATTAAAGGTAATAATATATATATTTTAAAGAAATTAACTATTTTTGATATTAAGTATATAATAAAAGTAATTTTAAACCTATATAAAAATTAATTCAATATAATAAACTATGATTTATAGTTGTTGATTATCTTTTTTTTAAATAAAAGAAAACTACCTTAATAAAATAATAAATAAGTTTTTAAATATTTTATTTTTATTTAATAAAACAAGAGCAGTATCAATATTAAAGAGCATTAATACTGCTTAATAGAAAATATAAAAGTTTTATTAATTATGAAACATCATATATGTTTATAGTATTTCTGTTTAATAAAACAAAAAGTAATATATAATTTTATTATAAAAGTTATTTAAAGATCTCTTAAAAAAAAAAAGAAAACAAATGAATCTGAATTTATAACAACAACAAATTATATTAAATTTATAAACAAAGAATTTAAAATCTCTAGTAAAAAAATTATAAGTAATAAAATTGTATTCTTATCAGATAATATACATCAAATACTAAGTAATGTCTTAACCTTATTTACAAATAATTGATTACTTGTTAGAGATTACTTTTTATCAACTTTTGATAAAAGTAAAAAATGTAAATTATATAAACAAACATTTGACAAGCTAACTGCAATATTGACTATTACTTAGTATTTTCAAAACTTCTATCCTGCAGAGTTTACTAAAATTAAATAATGTAAACTTAGACAACTTGACCCTTATAGCCAAATGACAAATATAAAATAAATTTATTAAATAATAAATTTTTAAAATAGATAATCATCAACTAACAATTATTTTTATTAGTTGAATATATTGAATTTATTAATTTTTTATATGAATTTGATTCAAGATACAAAGCTTTATATTACTAGACAATTTTAATATAAGTTAGTCAAAAGTATATTAAAAATAAAAATAAAATTATTTCTTTTTTTCATCAAAAATTTTAATTACTATAAATGGTTAAATATCTTGTATACAACAATTTTATCTTGATATAACTGCTTATTAGGTAGATTTTAAATAGAAAATACATTGCATTTTATTAGACATTATTTCTTTTAATAAAACATATATTGCAGCTAACTAAACTGAACTTTTAATAACAATGAATATAAGTCATAAGCTCTTAGAAATAACAACAAACAATATTTCCAATATGATGACAATGAGTTATATTCTAAAAGAAAAAATGTGTAATAAATTTAGTAATAATAATATATAACATTTTTGCTATGATATGCATATTCTAAACATTATTGTTAAAGAAGAACTTAAATTAGTTAGTAAAGAAATTTCTAAAGCACAGAAGTTCTTTATAAGCTTTTGAAACTTTTCATCATTAATTAGAGAATTAAACCAAATTTTTAAAATAAAAAATAAATAATTTTTAATGCCTTAAACTAATATAGATATCAAATAGAATAACATATATATTTATTAAAAAAATTTTAACAGATTTACTCTATGACTAATATTTTTGTTGTGAGCAACTAAATATTAAAATTGAATTATTCTGATAAACAAGAATGGAAAATTATTACAGTTAGTTAAATTGTTTTAAAAGATTTTAATTCTATTATTACAAATTACAAAATCTGTTAGCTTTTTTTAAACCAATGTATTGTGTAGCTGTAATACTATTATTATTAATACTTTTGATCCAAAGTAACTTGTACTTGATATTTTATAGTCTTATTATACATTTAAATAATAATAAAAACCCAATAATTAATATATAACATGTTGTAGTTAATGCAATAAAAGTAAAATTTATATTATATTAGACTTATTTAAATGAATTATTAGCAATTTTAGTCTTTTTTGACCTTTATAATAAACTTTTTACTTATAATTTTACTGAATGTAAACAAACTATTAATAAACTCTATAAAATGTACCAAATATACAAACCATCTGAAGAAAATAAATCATTACTATCTACTATTGCTACTAAATTAATATGAAATTTTTTTTAAACTTTTACAAAGTGCTATTAATTGAACCTAAATCAGTATGAAATTGAAAAATATTTTTTTAAACCAAAAACTGAGGCAGATGTACTTCTTTAGTAAAAAGTAAACTTAAACTAATTTTTAGTACTTGCATACATTGTAATAGATTTTCTTGCAATTTAGTCTATAAGTATACCAAGTATGCAAGTCTTTTTTATTGCAAGAAACACAATCAGTTTTAACTAAAATTGAATAAATTCTAAAGTTACATATATATTCCTATACTTAAAAAGTTGGTTTACAAAATTAGATAATATGTTAAAAAAAGTAAGTAAGCCAGATTTCTAAAAAAAAAATTAAAGCAATTCTTATTTATATATATATATATATATTTTTAAATCTTAAGCAGTTACATTAGTACTTTATTAAGATTCTTGAAACTATATATCTATACAATTACATAGAATTTCCTAATATCTAAGTCTAGCATTACTTAGCTACTCTAATAGTACCTAAGTTAGGGGCCTGCAAATTGCCTATTTTAGAGGCCCGGCCCGCAATTAGGGTTAAAAATTTTTTTTAGGCCCGGCCCAGCCCGCATTTAGAGTTATTATTTTTTTGCCAGCCCGGCCTGGCCCGCATATGTTAAATTTTTTCTTCAGCCCGGCCCGACCCAGCCCAGCCTGCAAAAATTTCTTATATAATTTTACAAATTTTCAGGCCCGCACTGGCCCACAATTATAAAGTTTTGCAAATTTTTCAGCCCGGCCCGGCCTGCAATTATAAAATTTTGCTTCAGGCCCGGCCTGCGGGACCCAACGCAGGCCTCTAACCTAAGTGCAATCTGCTGCACTATCTTAGTTAGAGATAGACTGCTCATCTAACTACTTAAAGCCATACCAAAAGGGTCTTCTTCCTTCTGTAACAAGCATATTTATTGTCTTCAAAGCTTCTTTTTTCATTTGTTCTCCTTTTTCTGTTTTCTTTTTTTTTTCTTCTTCTTTTGCTTGTTTATCTTTTTTTGTCTTCTTCTTTGTTTTCTCTCTTATGCAAGTATTTTTTTTCATTTTGTTTATTATATTAATCTTCTTCTTCTAGGCTTGTATTTTTTTACATCATACTCTCTATACTTGGTTATAGAA